AAATCTCTTTGAAGAGATTAACCAAGATGTATTTAGCCCGAACAGTCATAAGTGGCTTGGGAGCTGGGGTTCTAAAAAGGAGGTTAGTGATTACAATTGCGCTGAAGAAATGCATGGGAAGAGGTGAAAACACCAGAAATCCCATCATCACCGTAAGTGGTTTAATCGACTCGCACCAAAGATGTGCTCAGCCCACATCTCGATCGATAAGTGGAGTTGAGGACACCTTGGTCAGACAGCATAGTTGACGACTCGTCATAACATAGAAATTGGATGGAAAGACCACAGCCATGCTCTTCTCATCCAATTTTTATGTCATGACGAGTCGTCAACTACCGTATTTCCTTATTCATCAGAACAGCAATAAGAGAGAAGATGAAATTCTTAAAGTCATGGGTGACTACACAAAAGGTTTTGAATAGGTTGAAATTTTGATCTCTTTCTGTCGCTCAGCAATCACTAACCCAACAGCCGCCAGGGATTTCAGTTTCCATTAATCTGACCTCAACCTAGAAGATAAATATGTATGGGTAACGGCTTAACATTCAATCTTCGCTCCCACCAAGCCAAAAGAATATATCTGCACCGTGCAAACAGAGGCATTCCGTCACAGGAAGATTCTTCCCAGCATGCTACCGTAACGAACAACAAATAGATAACCGAGGATGCAGAGAGCGATCGCTTCGCTGACAATCACAGGGATTTACCGAGCCAATATCAATACCTTATGTTAGCATTTCTTTGAAGCCTTCGTGTAAGTGGATCAAAATTGGAAACACTAATGAAATAACTTTGCTTCCTACCGAACCAAACCACTTCCATCGACAATCTCGTACAACTCCTATTTCTTTAGGAGGCTTTCTGCAATCAGAAAAAGCTGGCATAGAATCCCCCTAGTGTAGCTACAGTGCTAAATTACACATTTTCCAAAACTTTTGGATTACACACTATAAGTCAAATAGTGTGCTATCTAAAAGTTTTGGAAAATGTATAATTTAACGCTGTAGCTTCGCAGGGGAATACGATGGCAGCCTTTGCTGATTGAAGGAGGCCTAAGGAAATGCACAGGGGCAAACAGACGAAAAATTTCTCTACAGAACAGAACCAATACATAAGAAAATTTAGAAAATTCGACATTAAAACTGGCTAGTCTAACTAGTCACGCAGGCGAAGTATAACAGGGAACATCCATGCGAAGAGATGCTTGAATAAGTCAAGCAGTCAGTTCTGGAATGAATAAAAAGTTAAAATATCGACGTTAGTTGTTGGCCGGGGGTAGATAGACACACACGTCGAGCGCTGGTTGGGTGGAGCGACGGCACTGTCGTTGGGGGNGGGGGCTGGCGCCGAAGGGGGCGGAGTTAGCTGAGTGCACGCGCACCTCTCACAAACGTCACGTGAGACATATAACATGATGTGGAGCTTGACGTCAGGTCATGCGTACGAGTTTCAGTGCAGGGTTAGGATTATGACCCAGAGATTAACTGGGATCATGTGAAATGACAAAGCTCACTATTCAAGAGATGGCAAAACATCAGTCATCTTCGACTTGTCCGCAAAACCCTACTCAGAACTAACAAATCGATCAGAACCAAGAAGTCGCAGGTTCTGGAGCTGAACATCGAACAAATTGATCGCATGGAATCCAAGAACCTGTTTTTCGTCTCACCTTGGTGCCGTACTTCCATATGTGAAGGAAAAGCACTTGAACATAAATAAACCTTTTACAAAGTACGCTGTTCCCCTTCATTTACCATAATTTACACTACCAACTTTACCAGTACCCAAGTCGTACTGGCTGTTCGAAGGCATAAAAACGAGTGCTGGTCTTAACAGTACATTGACGTTTCGCTGATAGGATTTAGTGTCGATGAAATGAGTGAGTGGGTGCATGTGATTTTCTCATGCAAGTACTTTACATTACGTAGAAGTAAACTTAGATGCCTGATTATTCCAAAAAACTTAATCTAGTTAAAGATAATGGTTTTCCAATTAAATTAAGATGTATCTACTTACTTTGGGACGACAAAAAGGAAATCGTTCGTGGTATTGTTGGTATTGAGTTGTTCTAACCATTTCAACTAAAATGACTTCTTTCCTACCATGTTAGATCGTACTCAAAAGGCAATCTTGCGACAGATTACACGTGCTTCTGCTATCACTCGATGAGCTACGCACTGCGCCACGTGTCTGTACGTCAAGTAGTACGAAATACACGGAAAGTACGAGGACTATACGATGTGCTCACTTTTTTCCGAGGTGACGTATTCTTTCATCAGGTTTAATCCAATTAGTTCCATTGACGGCGCTTGGAGTGATATTGACAGCAACCCTGACTCAAGTCCAGAATTTGATGAAACCTTACGATCACGTCATAACTGTGACTAGTTTTGTTTAGGTAAACAATCGTCACAGCCCCATGACCAAACTTTTGAAGAAAATGTGTCTCGGTTGAAACAACTTGCGCGTTCTCAAGTTACCGATTCCAACCTTGTTGCTTACCCGTCCCTCATCCACAGAATAATGAGGAAATCTCCTAGTGCCAGGTGATTTTTCCTGTTGTCGACACGACGATGAGATCCTTCCCCGTGTAAGATCTTCATCGATCCTACTTCTGCCTCTACGGCTTTATATCTTCGCGGTTCTAAAGATCGATAGATAATCTCGATCACCTTTCAGGAAACGCTTGGCTGACCATCAACCAGTGACCTCTACAATCTTGATGGATCTTATCTTCCTGACCTAAGAATGGCAGACTCTGACCGCCGCCCTAAATACCCTAGACGATATCATATCTACATTTACGTGAAAAGATTCTTAAGATGCTGGAATAAGCTTTGAGTTACACAAAGGCAAACGGCGGCTCAAAGCCGGTAGACTGGCACCTGTTCCGATCAATGAGGACGCAGATATAGGTGACGGCAAGCCATCTGAGGTCATCAATTGGAGCCACTAGCCGACAACCAACAGTGGCTGCTCAACAGTCAACAAGAGCAGCTGATCTGAAAAACTATACCATTAAAGATGAAAGCTACAACTTTACAACTACGAACTCGAAAATGATGTCATCATGTTTTGCTTGGCATGACGGTCGTGGTGGTGTCAGACGGCTGTCCACATAATATAAATCGTAACAGGACAAAGAAGAAAGAGTGAGCGCTCCGACGAAAACCCAAACAAGATTCAGATTCCTCAAGTCAGCTCCAAGTAAAATCGTGAAAAACAGATGAAAATCCCTACGAGGATTCCACTGATCCCCCTCAGATTGTTGCTCACTAGCCTCCTTTAGATTCGAAGGAAAAAGAAGAACTTAGGAAAAAGAAGAAAGAAGGAAATCCAGGAGGAGAGTGCCACCGTGGAGCAGCTCGAGCGATGACTACGTTGGAAGGGAGGCAGAGTGATGACAATTCGCTCCGTTTCTCTGACGCAAGCTGCGATGCAGTCGACGTGCGGCACTAGCGTTAGAGCGCGAAATCTTTCACTAGATGACGAGTTATTCCTGCGAGTTCTCTTTGCAAATGCCTACCAAGTTTGTCGACTGCTAGTTTGGCCTACCACTCTTTTCCATTTGAATATCTCATCCCTTCCTATTTTCA